CAGCTCAAAGGCAAGTCCATTCCAAGGCTGCTTCCAGAGATATCTTTCTCCCAAGGTAACGCCCCTTCCAGGAGGCAACCTGCACCCAGTCCTTTGGAAGTTCAAGGATCCAGCCTTCCTGTCTCATTTCAGGGTGTATTTGAAGGGCCATCTGAGCTCCAGAGTAATCTGTGGGATTGGCTGAGGCCTCTGTTGCCAATGTATCACATCAATCTTCCCTGTGCCCAATCCTGTTTCCATCCCCCCCTACCCCCAACAAGGTGTTGATCCTAAGACTCCTTCCCAATAAACTTCCTGCACACAAATCTCTGACTTACAGTCTATTTCCCAGAAAATCTAACTTGCAATACATTCTATGGCTAACGCTGTAAAGGAAGATGGGAAAAAAAACCTACAAAAATATTAGAAAAAGTTAGCCGGGTGTTGGGTTAATTTCCTCTTTTTCATTCTTCCTTGTGAAGAATCCCGCTGCTTTTCCATTTCCTTCCTAGAGACAGGGGTCCGAGCCCTCCAACCTGCGCTGGGCAGCAGCAACTGTGCCCACCGCTCACCCTTCCCCACCCCCAGAGGCAAAAGCCCCAGACGCTCTGTCAGCCTGGACAGCAGGGGGCACCTCGAGCCCAGCGCCTCTCCTGGGTCCCACAGCCGCACTTCTCAGGTCTGCTCTCTTCAGCTCCTGGCCAGGGCGAGGACCCAGGAGGAGGAGCGGGTGCAGCCGAGGATCCAACCAGGAGGAGAGGCTGGTCCTAGCCCTCTTCTGAGGCTTCTCCCCAGCTGGCCTCACCCTGGGAGCCTGAGTCGAGAGAGCAGGAAGTGCTGACACTGACGAGAGAAATATGGGTCCTGTGGGCTGTGCCTTCCTGCTGTCCCTTCTGCTGGCTGAGCCCCTGAGGTGGAGGTGGGGGGAGGCAGAGGTTTTTTGGCTCAAGAAGTTGCCATATAGACTACTAGGACACTGCACACAAGGGACGTGACTTCTGAAGGGTGTGCCCTGAGAACGTCTGAGGGGACCCTCTGTGCCAGGGTCCAAGCAAATCAGCACTCTAGGTAAACACAAAGACCCCTGCCCTCGGGGAGGGGGGTGGGGTTACAGCCAATGCCTGTGGCAAATATGTAAATTATGAGGCAGGTTAGAAAGCAAAATACTGTGACCTGAAAGGGACCTCTGGAGTGCAGAGAGGCATTCTGTTTTAAACAGGGTGGATCAGGAAAGTTTCTGTAAGAAGAAGCTATTGGATCCAAGACTTGGACGAGATGATTTGGCTAAAAAAAATCAAGGAAAATAGTAATTCAAGCAAATGGAACTGCAAGTACAAACGTCTGTCCTTGATTTCAGGAATTATACTGTTCCATTTATTTTTCCAGCCCATGGTGATTTAAAAGCAGGATTGGCTGAGGGTAGCAAAAAGATAATAGGTGGCAAAAAAGAAAGAGACACAAACACTGCAAAATGCTAGTTCAGTTGAAGAAAACAGGACAAAAGTAAACAGCTTATACACCTTAAAAACATCTGAAGGCATGAATGTATTTACAACCTCACATACTTGATATTCCTGAAGGAGATGGTGAATCGTTAAGTTAAATTATGTTCCATACATGCTGCTAAAAAGTCACGTAAGTATGTAATTAGGAAGATTTTTACTAGCAGGTAGATATAAAAATTTGGCCTTTAACACCAATCTGAGAAATTGAAGTCACAGAAAGCCTTTCTATTCAGAAAACCTGGATATATAACAGGTGTTGTTATATATTATATAACAGGTGTTGTTATATATTAATGATACAGTGTATTTGTTTTAGGGTCTTTCCTATCCTCTTTCCAAAAGAAAACCCTCCAGTCAGGTGAGTGGTTTCCACTTGGGTCCAAGACTGCTGGGTTTGGAATTGGAATAGGACAGAGAATGGAGGCTAGGGAGGACTCAGGTCCTGGGAATGGATGGGAGTTTGGAGATGATGAGAAGATGGGGATCAGAAGAACAGGACAACCGGACTTTCACATTTCTCTCTCCTCTTTCTGTAGTGTGTGGACGACCCGTACGCTCAGGCCGTGTTGTGGGGGGCAAGGATGCTGCTGCCATGCGCTGGCCTTGGCAGGTCAGCCTGAAGTTCTCCAACTTCCACGTCTGTGGGGGCTCCCTCATCAGTGATAGGTGGATAGTCACAGCAGCACACTGCTTACAAACCTAAGTTCCAGCTGGTGGTCAGGACACACAGAGGTAGGTTTTCAATAAATAACTGAATGAATTCATGAATGAACCAACAGACAAAGGCAAGTTCCAAGACAAGCAGGTGGACGGAAAGCTAGGTCATCCTGGACTCAGGACAAGGCACAGAGGTAAAAAAAAAAAAAAAAAGAATGATGAAAGCGGTCACTATATTAGAAATTTTTCTTACTTATCACCAAATCACCTCCTAAACACCAGTCAGGAGTTTTGTCTTAAGCTGTTTCGGGTCACAAACACAATCTGTGAGAGAAGCAAGGTACCATGTGGTGAGCAGCTGTGAAGAAAGAGGCCCATATAAAACTGATGTCTCCGGCCAACGGCTAATGAAGACGTGACAGACCCTCTCTGAGTTGAGTCTAGAGATGACACTGCACACCACCTTCAGTAGAGCCTGCTCAGAAGGAACCAGACTCCTGACGAGCAGAAACTGTGAAAGGTTTGCTGTTTTCAGCCTCTAAGCTTTACGGTAATTTGTTGTGCCACAATAGATGACATATATAAAGAATGAAACAACCAAACCTTTCAATAACAAAAAGTTCAAATAAAGTAATAACTTCAAAATGCTGAGGGAATTCCAACTTAGAAGTCTGCCCATACCTACAAACTATCCAACAAGTGTGGGATAGAAATAAGACATTCTCAGATACAGAAAGCAGCAAAGTTCTGTGCAGCAGCTCTCATGGGTAATCTCTCAGGAAGCCATAGTGGAATATGCGTCACCAAAATGGAGGAGGGAAAACGGGAAAACACAGAATAAAAAACAAAAAAACAGAATACAACACAGAAGAGAATCCTCAAGAAAATCATAAAGAAAAGTACCAAGACTGGAGTCACAGGGCAGAGGCCTTAAAAAAAAAAGTATAGTATCGATAGAATGCCTAACACTATCAACATATTGAGAGATTTACACTTTTGGCAGACAGTTGGGGAAAACTGATGAGTTAGTGACAGGTACATAGAAAACTAAAAATGCAAACAAGTGAGACCATATTATTAGCTCCAGAAGAAGCAAAAAGTTTTATAAGAAATATAATTACAGTACCAAATATGGCCAGGAGGTGAATGTTTTCATAGTCACAAAACATACATATTAAATAGTAATCTGACAAAAAGTTATCAAAGATTAGGAAGATGGTGAAAGGAAGTGGGTAAAGTGGCTGTAATTGTTGGTTCAATCCTCACCATCTACATAGGAACACAATGTTCTAAAATTGAAAAAAATTAATGGCAATATATAGGGTTTCTTAAAAATATAGGGAAAATGCTAGAAGAGATAACAGTTGAAAGTGATTGCCTTTGGATAACAAGAATTGAGGGCAGCAGGGCAGAGAATGTCTGTCATTCATTTATTTTGTAAATCTTATCAAACTACTTGACATTTTAAATTACATGAACACACAGACACACACACACACATATAAACTTGGTGGTTATATTTTGCTTTAATTTTTTATGCAGAAATAAAGGTCTAGTGCTCAGAAATCAAAACTGAAAGCAAAACAATAACTACTAAGCATATTTGTGATGGCTGAAACAATGGAGAACAGCAGAGGTGACGGAAAGAACGAGAGAAAAACTGTAAGACAAAACTCTGGCCATTAGAATAAAAAAGGACACCACAGAAACAGTAGACAACAAAAGAAAGAGTGGTCAGGGAGGTGGGGTAGGAGAAGAGGATACATACAAAACCTACGCCAAGCTGGAAGCAGCCTGGTTAACTCCAAGTCTGTCACCCTCCTTTGTTCCCCAAAGACTCAGCCACACAAAGCAGCTTGCTGTGACTCAGCTGTAAGCAGAGAAGTGCAGTCCACTTTTGTTCTCTTTCTCTTCCCCTAAGGACATGGATTCCTTTCTTATACACTGTGTGGCTGGGGTCAATTCATATCAACAATCTAGGCGAAGGCGTGATACATCATGTGAGCCGAATGGTCATCCATCCCACATACAATAATGCCAGTGGGGACATTGCCCTGCTGCGGTTGTTCACTAGAGTCACCTACAGTTCTTCCATCCTGCCCATCTGCTTGTCCAATGTCAAAAAAAAGCAGTTGATAGTTCCAGGCTCTTGCTGGGTGACTGGAAGGGGAAAACTGCGAGAAGGAGGTGAGAGGCACACAACAAGGGGGTGTTTTATACGTCACCTTCTGGTACCCACTTCAGGGCATTCATATTCTGGGCACTTCAATACTGTAGCAAAGACTGTCTACAAAACCAGAGCAACCAACTGACACTCTCCAGAAGTTTTCAAATAAAATGTCTGCCTATTTACCTGATTATTAACTCATATTTTGGCTAGAATCCAGCTATACTGGTAAGAACAAATACTAACAATTTATATATATATATTTATTTAACTTTTTTTTAATACTAACAATTTAAATACATAATTACCTCTCTGAAACAGAGGTTAACAAGTCTGATTTAAAGTTTGAAAAGAGTGTACTGCTTATTTAATCTGTTTTCAAAGTGTTGTGTCAACTCTTTGAATACTTTGGAATATTCACATTTTTACTTAATCAAAATATATCAGAATTTCTCTTTATCTAGAACCTTAAGAATGCCCCAGTTGGCACATCAAAAAATTGCAAACAGAATTTTGAATTATCCATTGTTTTAGATTAACTATGCCACAAAACTGTTCCATTAGCCAACATGATGAGAAAGTGACTGTATTCTGCTTTTGGATTACCATTCCAAGATGTCTGCATATCATGACTGAATGTTGTCCCTACTGTTCCAGGTTGCTTTTCCTTTCATTCCTATTTATCTCTACAGATGCTGATAACCCTACCACGCTCCAGGAAGCAGAAGTACCCATCATTGAACACCAGAAATGTGAAAACATATACAACCCACTGGCCCCCTTCTTGCCGCAAGCACAGCCGGTCATCGAGGAAACCATGGTGTGTGCCGGTGATCTTAACAAAGGGAAGGATACCTGCCAGGTTAGGGTTTGCTCTTGAAAATTTTAATTTTAACATGACATCTTAATTTGGATCCAGGTTTGCCCATCTGTAAACAACAGTGAATTGGGAATCAGGAGACAAGCATTCTTACAAAAATTATTTGTTTTCATCTGGATTGATCTAGAGTAATGCTAACTAGTGGTGTTTGGGTTTTCATAGTCTCATATGTTTTCATAAGTAAGAGGTTAACATAGAAATATCAACTTTTTAAATTTTTTCAAGGCAAAAACATTTCATTGTACACTTAAAATGTGTCATTCCATTGTCTCCTGATCATAACTGTCTGATGAAAAATCAACAGTCATTTGTGTCTTCCACCATTGGGTGTGATGTACTGTTCTTTGGCTTCATCCAATATATTTTCATTCATATTGGATTGTTAGAAATTTGAATGTCATATGCTAGGTGTGGTTTTCTTTGTCTTTATCCTAGTTGGGATTCACTGAGTTGTTGTTTTAATCTATTCTTTTCAGTTCAGTTCAGTTGCTCAGTTGTGTCCGACTCTTTGCGACCTCATGACTGCAGCACGCCAAGCCGCCCTGTCCATCACCAACTCCTGGAGTTTATACAAACTCATGTCCATTGAGTCAGTGATACCATCTAACCATCTCATCCTCTGTCATCCCCTTCTCCTCCTGCCCTCAATCTTTCCCAGCATCCAGGTCTTTTCAAATGAGTCAGCTCTTCACATCAGGTGGCCAAAATACTGGAGTTTCAGTTTCAGCATCAGTCCTTCCAATGAACAACCAGGACTGATTTTCTTTAGGATGAACTGGTTGAATCTCCTTGCAGTCCAAGGGACTCTCAAGAGTCTTCTCCAATACCATAGTTCAAAAGCATCAATTCTTGAGCGCTCAGCTTTCTTTATAGCCCACAACTCTCACATCCATACATGACTACTGGAAAAACCATAGCCTTGACTAGACGGACCTTTGTTGACAAAGTAATGTCTCTGCTTTTTAATATGCTGTCTAATCTATTCTTTTACCTTTCATCAAAATTTGGGAAATTTTCATTCATGATTTCTTCAACTATTTTTCTGCCTCATATCTTTCTTTTCTTCTTCTAGTTAAAACTAGAAGTTTGTAAAATTATACCTTTTGATATTTTCACACAAGTCCCTAATACTCTTTGTCTAATTTTTACCCTTTTCTGTTTTGTCAAATTTGATACTTTAAATTAACCTATGTTCCAAATCATTGCTTCTTTCTCCCGCCATCTACATTTTTCTGCTAGGTTCATCTAGTGAGATTTTTATTTCAGATATTTTATTTTTCAGTTCTAAAACCACCACTTGGGTTTTACTTCCTCCCTGCCTCTCTCTTTTATACACATGCACACATTCTTCTACATCTCTGCCACAATTTCCTATCTGTATATTCATTATTTAAAAAATCAATCAGTGTACAGTGACACAACTTCACACTCACTAGGATGACTATAATCAAGATAGATAATAATAAGGGTTGGCAAAGAATTGGAATCTTCATATACCTAGTTAAAATGTAAATGGTACAGTCATTCTGGAAAACCTCAAAAGGTTAAGTATAGACTTACACACACATACACACACACACACAAGCATAGACTTACCATATAATTTAGAAATTCCACTACAAAGTAAACACCCAAGAAAAATGAAAACATACATCCATATAAAAATTTGTACATGATATTCACTGCACCAATATTTATAGTAGCCAAAAAGTGAAAACTAAAATGTCCATCAACTGATGACTAGATAAACAAAAACAAGGTATATCAATATAATGGAATATTATTCAGTCATAAAAAAGGAATGGAGTACATACACATACTATAACATGGATGAACCTTGAAAAGAGTATGCTAAGTGAATGAACCAGTGAAGTTGAAATTGCTCAGTCGTGTCCGATTCTTTGCGACCCCATGGACTGTAGCCTACCAGGCTCCTCCATCCATGGAATTTTCCAGGCAAGAGTATTGGAGTGGGTTGCCATTTCCTTCTCCAGAGGAATCTTCCCGACCCAGGGATCGAACCCAGGTCTCCCGCATTGCAGACAGACGCTTTACTGTCTGAGCTACCAGAGAAACCTGAAGAGAGACATAAAAAGTCATATTTTATATGGTTTCTTTTATGCAAAATGTCCGTAATATGCAAATCCATGGAGAAAGAAAGTAGATAATTGGTTGGCCTAGGGCTGGAAGGAATGGGAGGAAAAGGGTGACTGCTAAAGTGTATAAGGCTTCTTTAGGGGTGACACGAAAAGGTTGTGGTGATGGTCGAACAACGCTGTGAATATGCAAACTGAACTGCACACTTTAAACGAGTGAATTATATGGTAAGTAATTTACAGCTTAGTAAAGCTGTTACCAAGAAAGCAGGAAGACTGAGAGGCTATCAACTACTATCACCACCATTTTATATAGGGAAAAATTACTTCAACACTAAAAATGGCAAAAAGGACCCAAAAATAGAAAAATAAGGAGTTCCCTCAATGAAGTTAACTTTAGTGAAAAACTCAAAATCTTTGTTTCTTTTTAATCACAGGTAAGTATTTTGACACCACTCATATATTTAGCTAAGATTTCTGCCAATTTCAGACTCCAAGATTCTCAGTTTCTGGTGCCTCCCCCAGGTGGCAGGAGGTCTGGCTCCCTTCCAAGTTTTATAGCTCCACGGGCTTCGCTGCTCGGTGGTTAGGAACCTCCACCCCTGACGGCCTCTCTCCTCTTCATGGCCCTTCTTCACTGCGCTCACGACCTTTCTCTCTCCCACAGGGTGATTCTGGAGGGCCTCTGGCCTGTCGTATTGATGGTATATGGGTCCTGATAGGGTTGTCGAGCTGGGGAACAGGATGTGGAGCCTACACCAATGTGACCTACTACCAAAAACGGATTATGTCCGTTATCTCAAGAGCGAGGTCTTGGGTGCGGACGACCTGGACTTGTCTGACTTCTTCTCTATTGTACTGCTTTCTCTGGCTCTACTGGGGCCCTCCTGTGCCTTTGGGTCTAACGTTTCACCAGGACAGTAGGAAGTGTAGCTGACACTGCTGACCAAGGATGTGGCTAGGGAGGAAGGTGTGCAGAATAAGCACTCTGGGCAGGGAAGTCACACATACTGTCACTGGGAACTCTGCATGACTTTATTAAAATAATCAGAAATGATCCTGGTTTTGAGGTCCTTGATTCTGGAAGTAGGTTTTACTGGCTGGAATGCCTACAGCTGATAAATAAGAATGCCATTTTGTGTATGGCATTCTTTGTCCTTGACAATGCAACTTACAAGGCAGGAAGGATGCCTTCTATGAAGAAGTATGTCCACAGAAGCCAGCAAGAAAAAAAAAAGGCAAATAGTAAGGTCCTCAAGAAAGTACATTAAGGGTTTACTCAGTACCCATGGGTCAAATTTGAGTTTCTTACCTGGTCTATATTTCTCTTCTTCTTCTACTATCTTATACTTCCCCTCTGTAGCAAAGTATCAAATAAGAAATCCACATATGTGTTTCAGTTCTGAATATTTCTGAAATTTTTAGTTTTTGAAATACTTACATGACTACTACCAAAAATAGATTAATGCAATCAGCTCAAGATCTGAGGTTTGGGTTTCAAGAATCTGGACCTAACCAGGTTACTGTTACTGCTATAATAAAGTACTTTAAATATTTGTAAAGAAAACATTATTTCTCTTGCTAACTAGCAAGTTTCTTTTTACTTTTTTAAATTTATGACTGTGCTGTCTCTAGCTGTGGTGCCGGGTTTCTCACTGCGGTGGCGTCTCTGGTGCAGCGCATAGGCTCTAAGTGCGCAGGCTCAGTAGTGATGGCACGTGGGCTTAGCTGCCCCATGGTATATGGAATTTTCCAGGATCAGAGATCGAACCTGTTGCCTGCTGTACTGGCAGGCAACTTCTCAACCACTGGACCACCAGGGAAGTCCACATGCTATTTTTTGGTTCAATAATCACAACATCTATACTATTTCCCTTCCTGCTTAGGCTTGGAGGAGCTCAGAGCTACGTTTTATACTGGATTTCAGTCATTATCTTTCTCCTGTACTATCTAGTATAATTCTACTCATACTCTTTTCTATTTCAATCACCTTTCATTTCTCATTGAATGAATGTAAGTTTTGTTGGCTTTATGGTAAGTCAACTTTCAAAAACAATGTTTTTGGATAAATACATTTAATAGGAGGTGAGAGGGATTTGGATTTCCCTGGCAATCCAAAGGTTACAATTCTGCACTTCAACTGCAGGGGTGCAGGCTTGATCCCTCGTTGGCGAAGCTTAAGATTCTGCATGTCATGCAGCCAAATAATAATATTTTTTTAAAAAAGGAAGTGAGGTAGGCTTGAAAAGTTAAAACTCTTGCTAACCCACAACCTTGCCTCTCCACTGGACCTCCACTTTAGCCTCCCAATACCATTCCCATGTCCTTTCTTCACTCATACCTATCAGTTCAGTTCAGTCATTGAGTCGTGTCTGACTCTTTGCAACTCCATGGACTGCAACACGCCAGGCCTCCCCATCCATCACCAACTCCTGGAGTTGACTCAAACTCATGTTCATTGAGTTGGTGATGCCATCCAACCATCTCATCCTCTGTACTCCCCTTCTCCTCCTGCCTTCCATCCTTCCCAACATCAGGGTCTTGTCAAATGAGTCAGCTCTTCACATCAGGTGGCCAAAGTATTGGAGTTTCAGCTTCAGCATCAGTCATTCCAGTGAACATTCAGCACTGATTTCCTTTACGATGGAGTGGTTTGTATCTCCTTGCAGTCCAAGGGACTCTCAAGAGTCTTCTCCAACACCACAGTTCAAAAGCATCAATTATTTGGCACTCAGCTTTCTTTACAGTAAAACTCTCACATCCATACATGACTACTGGAAAAACCATAGCCTTGACTAGACAGACCTTTGTTGGCAAAATAATGTCTGCTTTTTAATATACTGT